ACCAAAATTGGTAGGACTAAAGATTTCAGTCTTTTAGATAGGATTATCTGACATGCCCTACAAGAGTCCATAATTTTTAAAACATTTTCAAGTGAAAACTTTAGTAACCACTATTAATCATCTAAAAGAGATTTTAGTAAACATAATGATAATGAAAAAAAAATTCAACTTCCAGTGACAGCAGTTTGCTATTTTGAGACTTACCTGTACGGCAACCATCTTTGCGAGTGGACTATTTGGTTCTCCATTGTCCTTTTCCAGGCTTACTTCTAATTTGCCAGCAGCATGTCCACAATGATCATCATGCCCCACAGAGGTGCTCTGGACTGTGCCAGCGCCCTCTGTGCCACAATGTGACCCCACTGGCATTTCTGAGGCGTTCTGACAGGGCTGTGGTTCACAGGAGGGCTGGTGACCAGGGGCCTTCTCAAAAGGCAAATGCTGACCCTCAAAATCTGCAGCAGTACTTAGCTCTGGCCTTTCCCTGGCTGTGAAGGACTGCCCCACTGGCAGTGATCTTTGCAGCTGATATTCCGCAGAAACGGCCAGAGGCGTGTAAATGCTAGTGTACTGGGGCAAACTCGGCAACACGTTTATGTACGTGGGAGGTGTCTGGGTAATGTCGAATCCCTGAAAGGGAAGGTAAGTACAGTAACCTGTGACTATATGAGGCTGAGTCCAATAGGCTGTTGGTTTCACATCCTCAGGAACTGGTGAGGGAGAACTGGGAGAGGTCCCTCTGGGCTTCACGTCCTCAGCAGCTACTCTGGGAGGATTATCAGATACAGGTTTGGGCTTCAGGGCCTCATCAGCTGGTGTGCGAGAATTAGCAGATACAGGTTTGGGCTCCTCAGAAGCTGGTGCTGAAGATAAATCTGATACAGATTTGACTTTTGCATCTGGTTTAAATTCCCTAGCTGTTGGATTCAGGGGTAGTTTAACTCGCAAATATTCTCCAGATTTTGAAATTTCTTCTACTTTTGTCTTGATGTTTTTCTTCTTTCTCTTTTTCTTGAGTCGCAATGCGACTTTCTTCAACGCAATACAGTTGTCGATCACAACAAAACGAGGACACCCCAGGAGAAAAGATTTTAAGCCTCCTGCTTTTTCTAGGATCTGTCGAGTTTCTTCTGGAAAGAATTCATATTCTTCAGAGAACATCTTATTACTCATATCCAAGGGACCATGTTCCTCCAGCAACTGTGAGAAGTAACTTGGGAAAAATTTACATTTATGTGACTTATTACAAGAAGTACTTGTGTATGTTTAATAAAAAATATTTCCCCCCCCAATTCTCCTAAAGCCAAATACTATTTCCACTGATCTCAACCCCTCTTGCAACAAACTTATCCATTCATATTAAATCTGCATGCAGTTAATTGTGATCAATGAGACTATAATCAAAATTTTATTAAAAATAATCCTTTGAGGATAGATCGCAAAGATATACAAAGAACTGATGAAACTCAACAAAAATAAACAACCCTATCAAAAAAATGGGCAGAAGAGCTAAAACGACACTTCTCCAAGAGGAAATGCAGATGGCCAACAAGCATATGAAAAAATGTTCAACATCACTCGTCATAAGGGAGATGCAAATTGAAACCACAATGAGATAACCACCTCACACCAGTGAGAATGGCACATCTTCAAACAACTAGCAACAACAATTGTTGGCGAGGATGTGGAGAAAAAGGAACTCTCCTGCACTGCTGGTGGGAATGCAAACTAGTACAACCACTATGGAAAACTGTTTGGAGGTTCCTCAAACTGCTAAACATGGAGCTTCCCTACGACCCAGCAAGCCCACTCCTTAGTATCTACCCAAAAAGACACAAAAACACTGATTCAAGAAGACACCCCATGTTTATTGCTGCTTTATTCACAATTGGAAAGACATGGAAACAGCCCAAATGCCCAAAAGTGGATGACTGGATTAAAAAGATGTGGTCCATATACACAATGGAATATTACAACAACCAGAAAAAAAATAAACACATGCCTTTTGCAGCAACATGGATGGAGCTGGAAAAGATCATGCTTAGTGAAATAAGCCAGAAATAAAAGGAAAAATACTAATGGTTTCACTCATTGCAGTATAACGGACAGAAAATAATAATAATAACAATGAACAGCTATATACCAGAGACATTTTATGGGGGTGGAGTGGGGAGTGGGATCAGAAACAGGGGGGGGAGGGAAATGCACTGGACTATGGCAATGGCACACGGGTGATTTGGTGATGGGAAGCCCAAGGGGATTACAACTGAGATGGAAAAATGTAAAAAATTATGTAAAAATAAACTTATTATTAAAAAAAAAAAGGCAAAGCATCCCATTCAAAGATGACCAAATTAAAAAAAAAATCCTTTGAAAATTTTTGGAAAAACAGCACAAAGATTAAAGTTATTTTATATATTGTAACTCCATTAACTATACAATCTACTAACAAAGCAGTGAAAAGCACAAAAACTTACTAAAGAAAAATACCAAGGAAATCAAATAAGAGGAAATCTAAAAAATATCTGATAGGAATTTATATGTAGTAAAGCTGTTAAGGATTTTGTTTAGGAATGCGGAATGGTTCAGAACTGCTAAAATCCAGGATGTCTGAGCAGCAAGCCAACGCAGCAGTATGTCTGTTACTTAATCTGCCTCCAGCTGCACCTGCCTTGTTCACTCCATCTTGGGTCTATCTTTTCTCCCATTCTTGGGCCAGGCTGAGAGAGACATCACATTTCCACCTGAATTTGGTATTCAGCTGTAGCAGTGGCAAACTTTTAAAAGACTAAGCATTTCTGAAGGGACTTTGCTAATCAGGAAAAAAGTTATTTAGGAGGAAGGTAAAAACAACAGGTCTCTGAAGCAAACGAAAATCACTTTATAAATGCTTAGAACAAGTTAAAATAATTCACCTCTATTCAAAGCAACTGATACACAGATGCATGAAGACCAATTGTGGCCGCTCTCCGTCAGCAGGGCTCCCCTAACACTCGTCACCTAATGGGCTCTTTCAAGGCATTGACTGATGACTATTTTCCCCCAACAGAATAATCCTTACAATATAAACTCTCTCTCTATGTGGCTATGCAAGGTAGCCGGTTAAATCTACGTATGTTCTCTTTACGGAGCTTCATTTTTAATGGGAAATCCCTGAAAGCAAAGGGGTGAAAGCAGGGCGAGGTCAAAAGAAAGCCATCTCTGGTCAGGAACATCAACTCTTGTTGAGGGTCTCTGCTGACAGGTGTGTCGGGGACCGAGACCAGGACTTTGCCTCCTATGCACAAAACAACACTTGATTGGAACTTAGAGTAAACATCCTGGTTGAGAATGCAGCACACCAGAATCCCTTCCCCCACTCTCCTTCCTTTCCCGCTCAGCAAGCTTTGGCGCTAAAGAGACAGATGACGATGGATCCCTCCTCTCAAACCCATTGGCCTTTAAGACCATCAGACCCCCCCCCACCGTACCTTCTGTGCTGCCCTCAAGTATATATATATGACTGTTGTAAGAATAAAGAACGTTCGCACGTGTCTCTCTTTGCCTTCTTCCTCGCGCTATCCCTGGGGCTCTAACCCCTCGCCATGCGGGTCAAGGCCCGCCACAAGGTCAAGGCTCTGCCTTCTCCTTTCGTCGACCCTGGGACCCCAATCCTCGGCCTTGCTGGACAAGGCCTCACACACAGGTGTGTGTATGTTAACATCAGCCCACCACCTGCCCAAAGAGACCTTCTCGGTTGGTGTTTAGCTGCCAGTAAGCAAACAGAGTCAACCATGAATGGTGGGTGTGTACTTACTTATTTGCTCTCTGTGATAAATACTAAAGAAAACCACTGAGAAAGAAACCTTTTCTAGCTGGATGAGAGTCCTTAAACTGACAGCGGGACAACTAGAGCACAGCAGCTGCATGAAAGGAAACCAGCGGGCCAGCAGCCTGCCTCTCACAGCCCAGGGGATCAGGACTCAAGGAGGACATGCACGGGGATGACTGCCAAGCAACTAAAAGAAGCTGAGTTCTTGGATAGTCAAGGATTGAAAAAATGCTCACCGTGCATTTTTTGGTGGAAAAGACAAATGGCATAGCTGAATAATAAAATCAGTTTGTAAATTTAAAAAAATGTTTTATACATATGTGAAAAGCTATACACTGAACATTAACTATGCTTATACTAGGTGGTAGCATTAATTGTAATTGTTATTTTTCCCTTTAAACTTTAAAGATTTGACGAGATTCAGCAAGATGGTCAGACTTAAGCTGCTAGGCTTGCCTCCTGATCCTGAACCCACAAAATAGAAGCCACAACCCCCTGAAGGAAAAACGGATGACCACGCACACACAAAGGGCAAAGGTGTGGCAGGAAGGAGTAGGAAAAACTTTAGGTGAGCCACATTATAGTGACACCAGGCACTGCAACCCCTAAGAAGGGTGGCTGCCGTGCAAAGCACCCTACAGTTGCTGACTCGGACCCAGGCTAATAAATGGGGACTCCAGAAATCTGGCACTGCACTAGGTGAGGGGAGCTCAGAGGTGGTGCCCAGAGCAGAGAGTGCGCTGGTGAAGAGCTACCGGGCTGAGGAAGTAGAACAAAGGTTGCTGGTGTGAGCCTGGGTCTTTCAATCTGTAACAGTTGGCTTTGAACTGAAGGGGAGAACTAAGAATTGGTGGGAAATAGATGTATTCTGATCAATTTTCACTGTTTATATATGTTAAGTCATTATATTGTACACCTCAGATGAATGTGTTACAGGCCAATTGTACAATTTAAAAAAAAAAAGCAAAAAAACAATTCACTTCCTTACTTAAACTTGACAGCAGTCATTTAAGTGTTCTTGACTCAATCTTTTTTTTTTTTTTTTTACATAAGAAACTTAAGAAAGTTTCATCTTTCTTTCATCTACTGGCCAATAAAGGCCAGTAAAGGCATCATCATTCTTAAGTTGATGATTACATATTCACTTTTGAGAAGTCAAAGAAAAACAAATAACTTTTTGAAAGTTCCATGTTTTGTGACTTTCTGGCTTTTTCCTATAAAGTATTAAAATGTATGATATGTTATATCAAAAAAGAGACAAATCCTTTTCCCTCAAAGTTGTTTAAATTCTTCCTATAGTGGGAATAAGCTTCTGAAAGCCATACAGTTTAGCTTCAGTTTTAGACACATGGAATAAAACTCAGCACATTTTAAGAAGCTATGGTACAGTTTTATAGCCATTTCCAATTGTCATCAGGAGTTCTCAGGACACATGATTTGCTCAGCTTTTTATTTTTTAGTAAAGATTTATTTATTTTGCATACAAGAACTGGGGTATGGCCAGAGGTGCAGGAGGGTGAGAGGATTCCTCAGAGACAGTGGGGAGCAGAACAGGTGGATCAACTGAAACATACTGATGAGGGGAGTAGTGGTGAGACAGGAGGGGTCTTCTGTGCCATGTGGGTTGCCCCCTGCCTGGGGATCGAACTGGAACCGCAGTGGCTGTGGACAGCTTCACTGTGCTGCAGTTTAACCCACTGCACACCAGCTTTTTATCTCTAACGAAAAACCATAGAGAGGGACCCCAGACTGAAAAAGTATGATGCAACTGAGGAATAGAGAATAACCACATTATGCGTTGACGGACAAGTTTTTTTTTTCAGGAGAGCCAACTTTCAAATTAATTTTTGGTTGCAGATCTTGGCCCACACTTTCTTTCAAGGAGGACGTCATGCATTACTGATTAATGCCAAGCTCAAAATAGTAGCTGCCTCACAGATTTCCTGAACTCCTTCACTCAATTATTTTATCTATCTTACTCATAACTGACATAACTGTTAAGTTCACATTCACATTTTCAATGTAAAAGTAACTCAGATCCAGTTACTTAAAAATAAATTTGTATCTGTTTTACCAGATCAGTGTCAGGAATTCAAGTCTGTAGTACAATGCAGGGGGTACAGAGTTTTATATAGATCATTCCAACTCAACAACTATCCTCTCAGCCAAATCAGTAATGGGATCCTGGCATCCTTTCCCTAGTAAAAGGGTAACACTCCCCCAGTTATATTACTTTCACTGGACTTAATGAAATGCCAAACATCCACATCTACCAACATTGGGACAAGAGCAAATCATCACACTCTTATGAAATGTATACCTTGGAATTCATTATGAAAAAACTGTGACTGGAAACCTTATGAGCCCTATCAGGATAGATCAGGACTGTTTTAGAAGTTTAATATATCTTTGCTTTTCCGTAGGATTCTAAATTTAATAACTAAAAGTCCTCAATTCTAATACATGACAAAAGCTGTGAAACTACATTTCTTACCTAGAGTTTGTAATTCAATAAATACCTTTAATAAATACAAGAGACACAAATTAAATTTACAATCTGTAACTGGCAGCCTTAATATAAAATAATAGTTATAGAAATGTTAACTACTCACTCATAAAGAGTTGAGCATTTCTGTCTTGGGTTAATATCCCACAGCTTCTTATTACGGAGAACATATTCATTAGTATGTTGTTCATAAAGGGCTTCAAATTCTTCTACATCTTGACGAAGATGGTCAGGTACTACAAATGGGCCTGCAGAATTTGAATTGCGCCTGCTGTTTTGAATAACAAAAAACATGAGCAACTTCTAGGTAAACCAGAAAAGTTTAAATAGCGACATAATATTCAGCTTCATAATGCAAAACATTACCAGAGAATTTACTACAGAAAAGTTACCCTTTCACAATTACAATCAAGAGATATAAATATCTGATTTATCTATTGGTACGCTTGAATAAACACTTTTAATTAACTATTCTTGCTTTCAAAAGCTAAGTCTAAAAAAACTCCTGGGTTTGAAAAAAAATCAATGTAATTTACTTTCACTTGTTAGAGAGAAAAATAAGAAACTTTTTTATAACTGCTACTAAGTAAGACTGAGACTAGTAAGTTGAGACTTCATAAAAAGATTTTATAAAAAAGAATGTAACATTCTAGCACCTAAAAAGAGTAGTTTGAGCTTGGGCTCTAAAACCAAATTGCTGGGTTTAAGCCCTTACTCTGCTATGTGTTCCTGAGCACACTGCTCAAATGACCATGACTCAGTTTCTCCATCTTAAACAGATATGACAGCAGATTTAAATCCTAGAGTAGAAAGCTGGGTTAAATGGGCTTATGGGATTAGGCATGTATACCCTTAGAGTGGAGTCAGGTACGATGTGTTAGCTGAGCACAGGCTATTATTGTTTTAACTTAAAACAATTCCTCCACTTAAAGAATTCATAAAAGTGACTATGCAAAAAAACCTGTTATTACAATGCCATTAAGAAAGTGGAAGGGCAGGAGTGGTGGTGGGGGTGGTGTCATTTTGTGGGTTTTTGGTCCTTATGATATACAAAGGTCACGATTTTGAAATAGTGTTCCTCACTATTTTAATTCTTCATAACTCAACTTGTTTCTCGCAGTCTCAATTTCAGCAATCACATGCCACTGAAAATCACCAACAACTAAGATTAAAAACATAACATCACATATGGCTCCAAAACACCTTCCTTGCTCATATTATAGCAAACATGCTATCAATCAGTAGAAACTTCTTTTAGGTGAACATTTTAAGGAGTAATTTCTAGGATCTTCCCAGCGTGTCTTACACATGGTATAGTGTCAAATTTAGCAAGTCAGTCTTTAGTCCTATGATTTTTAATGCATTTGTATGAATTCTTAACATCAATCAGCCACACTATTAATTCAGCCAAAATGGGCCACCTCAGGTGGTTGTAATATGTGCACATCTTTAAGTAGGCAAGTTAGGAAAATAAAGCACGTGTTTAAAGAATATTAAATTAGTACCATTTATAAGTGAAAACATGAGTTAAATACAGCAAAAAACATCTAATCTTACTTACTTATGGTCTTCATTTGAAGTAACAGTCTCATTATTTGGTGTTACTGATGTTGTTCCAGACCCAACTAACATAGGCTGGTTTAAAAGACAGAAAAATGACAATGATTTTTCTACCTTAAAATTCCATGAAAAAAAAATTCCATTAATACACCAATGAATGTTACATACATATGCATGTACATCGCCAATACATAACTAAGTTTTTTGGTAAAGAGGAAAACACTAGTAATAAAACTTCAACTATAGGTCCAACTAACATGTAGGTAGCTTCCAATGCTACAAAAATATTTAAATGTCACTCACTTTAAGCTTCTATTTTAGATAAAATGAAGACAGAGTCAAAGATAAAAAGACGCGTTTCACTGGAATTTATAAAAAGCTGCTCTCACCTCCCCTACTAGTTTTCATTCTCAGCTCCCTCTTATCTGACTCCCATATACATGAGTCATGAGGAATCCACAAGACATAAAAACAACATCCTACTTATTTCATGAGCTTGAGGCAGAACTCCAAGAGAAAGAAAGGGATCCTGTCCATCTTGAGATTGTTATGATAACTAGCACTCATCATCTTCATTATGAATGGAAATAATTCAAATGAAAGCTTTAGAATACTAGAAACCATTGTTCTGCTTTCTTGCCAACTATAAAATCCAGTTTAGTAGCAGTAACATCAATAGATAATAATTACCAGGCATCTATTACCTAATCAGCGCAGTAACTGCATAACAGCAAGTAGAAGAGGCATCACTGATACCTGCCATACAGACGGTAACTGAGGGAACTCAAACACCCTGACTGAAGTCTCATCCATTAACAGTAATTGTTGCTATTGTTACTGACCAAACTAACATATAAACCCAGATCTGCCTGATCCTGAAACCACATTGGTCCCTCTCTAAAATCACTCACAGAGTCCTACATTATGACAGTGTTTTAACTCAGAAATATCTAGGAAGTAAAACGGACAGGAGAGGCATCTCTTTGCAAAGTAACTTATACTGGAAAATATGAACATTATGTTTTCTCAAAATGTAAGACTACCAAAAATATTTTTAAAGTCGATAAACTCTCTCCACAAAATGTTTCAAAATATCCCAGGAATTGTTTATTTCTAATTTACACAATTAATTTAAGTAAGAATTAATACAGAAAATATACAATACCTTTGAGTCTTTTGGTTTCTTTTTCTTGCCTTTGTTTTTCATCTTGGTAGAATTAAACTGGAACACGGGGAAATCAAAGAACATTCAAATAATAGCATAGGAATGTAAACATAAATTAAATAAAATTTTAGATTTGAAAATGTAAAAGATGTAAAATATAAAAATCATTCAACAATAAAATCAGCTTTTGTACTGATTTATAACCGAAAATAAAGTTGAATGACACCTAGTACTGTAACTAAACTTTTACTGTTTTAACATTTTAAATGAAGTTTATTTATTTTTTTAAAGATTTATTTATTTCTGCATACAGAGCTGGGGTACAGGCCAGAGGTGCAGGGGTGGTGAGAGTATTCACCAGAGACAGAGTGGGGAGCAGAACATGCAGACTAACGAAATACACTGCGAAGGGGAGCAGCAGGCGGGTCAGGAGAGGTCTGCCGCGCCATGTGGGTCACCCCTGGGGCAGGGATCGAACTCATACTGAAATGGCTTTAGCTTCTTAGTGCTGTGTTTACCCCCTGCGCCACCAGGGAGGGCCTGACGTTTATGTTGTTTTAATCAGATTTTTCAAAGAGTAATTCCAGGTAAATACAGACAGCATTTTCACAATAAGCCTTTTACTAAAGCCAAGCTAGACAGCTGCACCAGACACTGAACTTAAAGAAGTGAACTTAAAGAACTTAACTTGCCATGTAGTATGGTAATTGCACTTCCTTGCTTAGCTGGATAAGACTGGATAGCGCCAGTATTATCCAACTACAAATGCCAACCACAAATCAGTTGGTCCTAAAGAATCAGTAAACAGCATCTTTCTATTTGAAAACTGCCACAATATAAAAAGGCCAACTTGAATAATTATAACTTAAATTCAACATGGAGTCAATTCAAAACAGTCTCTTGTTTTTCTTACAGGATAGCAGAAAATTAAAAGTTTAGTAATTAGAGATGCCTTCCCTGTATAAAGTGATGACTCAAACATTACAGTAATGTGCAAGCCTCAGCACCTGAGTGCTCCAATTCCAAGAGGAAAACCAGGATTAGCTTCCTGATAGAATATTATGCAGTGTCTAGAAGTCCTTTAGTTCTGCTTGGGATTGCCCCTCAATAACCTCTGGCCTGGGCCACCCTCTCTTTCTTTGGGTAACAGAAGTATGAAGACGACACTGAAAGTAACCAAGTGACTCACAGGCACGTCACCACTGTCTTGTTTCCTCAGCACAGTACAGCGGCTATCTGCAGGAAGACACCGATAGATGGTTTTGTAAGTAAATGAAATCAGTTACATTGTCATGCAGTCCAATAAAGTCCCAGATACTGTTAATATCAATTATGGTCTCATTATTTAATTGTGACACAGTTTAGTCTAGAAACAGAGACCAAAATGGCTAACTATATAGGAAACTAGCTACAAAGAACCACAGAACTTCAACCCAGTCCACATCTGAGTGCCGTCTAGGTCAAGCTATGGCATGCTAAGGACCGGAAACAATACGGCCCCTGCCACCGATAAGCCCATGTTCCACAGAACAGACAAATACATGTAGCCCACAGTGCTGTGAAAACAAAGCTGAGATGGGATAATAACGTTTGCAAAGGGAGAGGCCTGAGGAAGGACTGGGAAGACTTAGGGAAAGGCTTGAAGTAAACAAGCAAGGGGGTGGGACAGGAAGCAGGAAAGTACATGGCAGGTATGGGTAAAAAAGGGGTGTGATGAGAAAGCCAGATGGAAGATCTGACTTAAATATGCAAATTTTCCCAAGTAGATGAGCCTGATGTCACTGATGGCAAGACAAGAAGATCTGTAGTGGAAGTGAGAGGCATGGAGACTAGTTTGGAAACTACTGCCATAGTCTAGTCAAAGAAAGTGGGGGTAAATAGGAAAAGACAGAGGAAAGCAGTCTGTTTGAATGATGAATATGGGATGGGGAATAGGAATAAGGGAAAAGCAATAGTTAAGACCAATTCAAGGGGCAGATAAGATAAACAACAATGCTATTAATACATAAATTCAGGATAAAGGGTTTTCTGGGGACACAAGTCGGTGGAGTCATACTGCTATTAAAGGGTTTCTTGGGTTTTTACACAAAAATTCAAGTGCAGAAATATGCATCCAGACTTCAGGTTGGAGACTGGGACTCCCAATTAGAGTAGTGACATTATGATTCTCTGATTATAAGATCAGTGATTCTGGAATATGTTAATTATTGTCATTCCTTTAAATATAAAGAGAGATGATTGAAAATGTCTGTGGTGATGGAACGGAGAGCTACTGGATTTGAAAACCTCTGGCCAGTCATTTGGTTGGTGTCTTCTACTCTAAGACTAAGTGCAGAGAACAGTCACAACCGAATGGACACATTTTCCAGAACACAGCTATTAGGCAGCTATCCTCCCTGCCTGCCTGTTATTATACAGGTGTCTTTTTCCCTTTCTCCTAATAAACCTGTCCTTTTAAAATGTAGGGGGGTGGGGGGGGAAGAAAAAACAACCACAGCAGTCAGGAAAATGTACAGAGGGAATTAACTGTCTTTTTTATCTGTGTTGTTTTATGATGAAAATCTGCAGCAGGCTTTTGTGAGCTCAGTTCCAGCACAGCACTTTATTACCCAAAGCAGCAGACTGGGGCAATGAATGCAGGCTATCAAGTAGCAGGTTACCTCCAGTCATGAAGTAGTGTCCTGGAAATAAAAAGTCATCTCTATTTGAGATGCTCCATGCTAAACACTACGAAAAAGTAGGTTTTCCATTTCTTACATCTGTACGTTGGAACATGTGACACCTCTGCATAAAGCTGACCCTTTAAAACAGACAGCATGCAGTTAAGCCTCTCTCTTGACATCACCAAGAGTAGACTTGTGATGGTGGCAGTGGGGCAGACTGACAAGAGAGACATGAAGTGTCAGAGGTAAGGAACTGAAGTTAATTTAGAACCCAAAAAGAATAGTAGAATTTGGAAGCAAAATGGGATCACAAGATCACTGGTTCCAAATGGCCTCATTTTAACAATGAAGACTCCAAGATCTCAGTGAGCTAAGGAATTAACTATTAGTTATCCTATTCCACCAAAGTGGACTCTGTATCCTTACTCACATTGGTTCCCAGTTCTTCACACTGCATCTAAGTCTAGATGTCAACTTGTCCACCGCCACGCTCATAGCTCTGCTTGGAACCTACCCCAAGTGTACTGCACTTGGACTCTCTCCCCAGGGTGAGCCAAGTGCTCATTCCTCCATCTGGGCCCTTAGCACTAATTCTGGTCCAATCTTGCTGCACTTATTCCCATGTTGCAGTCATGGAGATGCGTCTAATTTATTCTTCTAGAATGTAAGGTATCTGAGGGCAAAGAATAGTGCAAGCACTTCTGAATTCTTTGTTAACATTGGCTTGAGGCACTGACACAATAGTAAAAAAGGTTTATACTGAACTGGCAATGAAGAATCTGAGCCACACACTGTATTTCCTGGCTCCCATTTCGAGGTTCTTTCTACAATAGATGTGCTAGCTGTTCTAGATTCTACTTCTGCAGGCCAGTGTTATCTTTAATGTCACAGGTCAAACCATTTCCTACTAAATTTCACCTATTTAATATGTAATCTTTTCCCTGGTACTGTCAAAATATCTTGGATGCGAATAGTGTCGTGTGGAGTCTGTGCAATGTCTCCATTTGAATATATGTAACACTTAATAAAGACATATGATATAAAACATAAAGTCACTATTCTTAATTACTATTTCCCCAAGTAAGCCAGTTAATAACATCGTAATAATTTTCACTATATTCTTTGATAAATATCTGAAGTAGCTGGAAATTTGCATTAATTACTTTTCACCCAGATCTTCATAGATTTTCCCCTAAAATTAGAGACAATATAGAGATAATATAAGTCAAAATTCAGCATACATACCCATTATATCAAAAAATTCATCTAAAGCATTGTGTAGGGCTGGAAACTTCTCTCTGTGTTCTTCCAGCAGCCATATTAAACATCGTGCTTCCTTCAGTGATGTTGGTTCATAGAAATAATCGAGTTTTTTTCCTTCTATAGATCCTAGTTTATGACCATACTTCTCATTCCAGAGGAAAGTCATGATGCTAAAATCAAGCTCCTTAAGAGATGCTCCATAACGAGAAAAAAATGGTCCTGTAGCATCTAAGCCTATGATAAAAATTAAACCTAAATCAGAATGGAGAAATTATACACTGTATAATCACACTCAGTGTCACATCTTTGAAAGGGTTTTATTATAGTTTGCTTACATCCTCAGTAAAGCATGTAAATACTTGAAAATGAACTTCAAGCTACTGTTTAAGCTATTATGCATTTAAACAATATTTAGTATCAATATTCTAACTATTCAAAACAATAATTCTTAATAGCTGATTAGGGTGGGCCAAAGGCATGTCCTCTTGGTCATTTTGATTAGACTGAGGAGATGAAAGGCACTAAATTCTTTTAAAATGCAATAAATATCACTAATTCACGACTTCATTTCACTTAGTACAGAGCAAACTTTTACAATACTTTTCTACATAGGTCCATAGTGGCAAAGCATCAGTAATATGCAAATGCTTTCCAAGTGCCTTTATAACAGAAAATGGATACATTCCTTCCCCAAAAATGCCAATAACTGCTACTCATTCTCCAAAATATGGTTTCTAACAAAAATCAAGGTGATCATTATTCTTGCTTATATTCCTCTTTGGCCAAGTCAGGGACAGAGTGGCTGCAAACTCACACATTTCTTCTGATTGAAGGATGATGGGCCCTGCTCCTTGCTAACACTGCCCCCTAAAAGCCAAGATGAGCTCAGTCCACCTCTAACATGGTTCCGATCATTGGTTCTCAGTCAGCAAATGAAACAGACATTGCAGTCAAAGATAAACCTGCC